CCCCAAAACCCCAAAACCCCAAAACCCCAAAACCCCAATTTTATTAGTAAAAATTAATATTTATTTACAGTTTTCAAATATATACATTCATAATGGACAAAATATTCAACAATAGTGGCTCTTGGGACTTCCAGGACTATCTGGATAGGTATCATCGGAAACAAGGGCGAATGCCAGAGAATGACAGTAATCGGTTGCTTAATTCTCACATCTAGTTGAGGAAATGAATTCCTTTAGTATGGTTCCAGATGAGAAAAACAAGAATAAACTGGATATACTGTTGACTCCTTATAACAAAAATTTACGTAATCCTTCAAATGTTACTTATAGTATACAAAAAGTTTATGGAATTCACTACAGAGTAGGCTTGCTCACAGCTCTTTCTTTGGACTCACATCTGGGCCTCATTACTAAACTGGACCTATTGATTTTTATAGGACAAAGAACTCTAAGGATCCACAAGAAATGGCGAAACATCGGTGGGGAGATATGACCAAGTTGATCCTCAAAGAAGACTATTTTGTCAAGTAAGAATTCACTTAAATTATGAAATATTTCATAAATCGAGAGATCTGAATAGAAATATAGACACTCAATGGGCATCATCGGTTCGAGCCTCTCTCCTGAAGGCAGGAAAAAATATTTTTCAAAGATCTTATCGAATTATGAAAAGACACCAATTAAAGGTAAATATTCGACTAAATTGTAGACCATTATCGCCATTCAAAGATGCTATTCAGTGGATTTGGACTTAATTCTGGGGCAGAGAATGGGTAAAATAATATCTAACAATTAGTATCGCATCTTTTCTGCAAAAGTTAACACATAACCAGCTGTTTGAGATGCAGCAAAACAAGAGGTAATTACATCTCAACGACAAATAGCCACCATAGATCGAAATAAGAAATCAGAAATTGAAGTAAATCCTCTTTCACCAAGTAAGAAGAAGAGTTATAAAAATTCTATAATGAAGCGGAACATTAGAGCGATCAGCGAGAGTAATACTAGTCTGAGAACAAAGACATCTGAGCGTCCGAAGTTGAGAAATATTCGATTTGGTAAGTTCTATTGATGCTGAATCCATAGACCAGAGGAGAGACCGTTTACTTTCTGAATTCTCAACATCACATCAAAAGCCACGAAAGATAGAAGTAACAGTAAGCCTTCACTAACTCTTTTCAGCCTCTTGATGGAAATGAAGAGAGAAAAAGTTTAATAAGAAAAAGACTGCTTGGCGGTTCCAAATCTTACTCAAATATTGACAAAATTGGCATTAACTTTTCAAACAATCCTAAACCAACTATTATTCCCATCCAAAGTAACATGAACCAGGATATCCATGAGGAACTGGAAGAGAAGAAGTCAAGAAATAGTTTCACTGAAAGATCTCAGAATGCACAGGAATTCTCGACTGTTGAAAAAGTGCCTAGTTTTTATTATAATCCAATGTACCTCAAAAAGCCAGGTGAAAAAAATTAAGAGTAGGAATAGGAAGTTTCTTGATAGAAAACTAGCACAGAGTTTGTCTAGTTCCTTCAGGCCTAAAAAGAGCCGGCCGAGGTATGAACCCCAGTTTTAATCATTATAAGGCCTTATACATCCTCGAATTTAGAAGTTAATTATATCTTTAGTGAGAAGAACTTGAAAGCATGTGCTTTTCATTCAAAAAGACATACCAAAGTAATTTAAATTGTAACACTTTCAGATGAACAATTCTCTCCTGTCTGAATGAGTCTTCTGAAGTGGCAAATTTGACAAGACAACTATGAAGAAAATCTCTGCCAAGAAAGCTAGGATTCTGAAGGAAAGATATCTTAACGCCAGGAGGTTAACAAAGTGATAGTCGCTTAATGAAATCTGTATTCTCAATCAATTTCCAACATTCAATCGCTTTAGAATATTTGGGGTTTTGGGGTTTTGGGGTTTTGGGGTTTTGGGG